CCTCGGCAACCCCTGCGCGAGGACTCGTCGGGGGCTCGACGGCTTCGCGAGCTTGAGGTGAGCGAAGGAGGAAGGATGACGCACGTGTCTCTTCGTCACTTCATAAATCATCCCGCCTATTTATCCGCGTGCGTTTTTTGGCCTCATTTAATGTCGCTTTTTACGCGATATGGCTCTCAATACAGTTGATTATGGCATTTCTATCAAAAACTGTAAGCTGATTTTTTTCTCTTTCTTTCTTTTTTTTTTTTCTTTAAAAATTATTCTAGTGAGACATATCAATATATTATTTAAAATCGCGATAAATATAAAGATATATTAAAAATACAAATAGAATTTATGAAAATTTATGTGGAAAGTTAATAAAAAATTATGATTTCTTTGTATCAAAATTTTTTTAGATAAACAACACAGGAGTGATAATTTAATATAAAATATTTTAAGAATTTTAATAACTTGTAGTGCATGAATTTAAAAATATTCAACAAGTATCTAAATACTTTTAATATTCTGTCATGATGCAACAAATATTTATTAATATGATAAAATGTTTTTATGTTAAAAATAAGAAATAAATTCCATTGTCAGTTATCATTATCAGTATGCGGAAATATTAGATTACGTACATTTATGACGCGAACTATATTTCCGATTTTGATGACGACAATTACTTGCCGTATAAAAATGAACGCGGCGGCTGCATCCGAACGAATCACGTATACAAGTCAGGGGAGGAAAGGGAGAATGTGAATTGCCGGGAAGGAAGATAACGTAAAAATATAATATTGCCCGGCGAATCTAAGTTGGATTGCTTACAAATTGGCCTATACATCCGTAATGTTGCGATCACCAAGCCTGGTGGCCCCTATTGCGGGCGTCCTTGTAATTTCCATCTACGAGTGGGAAGGTCGCGTACCGGAATCTCTGCGGGAAATATTTCGAGGTTATTAGTTTTCCACATTAATTTTCCTTCTTATGTCCTTAGCAAGATATACCAGACCGACCGACGGAGAATCGATTATCAGCGACAGTCCGCGAACGATACTATCAATCGTTTCCTTTTAACAACCAGCATAGAAACAAATCTGTTTCTTCGGTCAAAAATCAATCTAATTTAAATTTTACGATTTTCGATGCGCATTATTGACGATGTAATCTTTCCAAGATAGATTTAATTTGTAAGCTTATAAATTTTAGAACTATACCAAGCGTCATAATATACTTTGTGAAAATACAGTCACAAAGGAAAAAAAATATTTTATTTCTCGATTTAGAATCGAAAGTTGTATTTAAATTTGTTCCTAAAGATAAAAATTTATTATTTATTATAATTGTGCATCCAGCGTAGTCAATTTAACATAATTTCCTAACAAGTAATTGCCTCTAGTTTCGCGTTAGATAAGGCGTTAACGTTAATTTTCTTTTTTTTTGTATTATATTTAAACACCGGCAGACTGTATCGCTGTTTCCTACATCTCAGCGTTTTTCCGCATTTTTGTTAGATTTACGCGAGTGCACATCGCCCGCACACAGGAGAGACGGGCGAGGATATCCCGGGGCGGTATCCTTGTTAGGACGTCCGTCCTGTCAAAACGTCCAGAGGACACATCGGAGCAATTGAATTACGATCATCCCCAGGGCGAGTTCCGACCGTAACCAATAATTCCATTATCCATTAGTATTGGGTCGCGGCAATTTCCTTCGCCGACCGAGGAGGAGGCATCGGACGCCACCGCCGTCGCCGCCGATGCCGACGTACGTGGCGGCCGATCTCCCGGCGAAAAATACAGAAACCGATCGGGAAACGGATAGATTCCCGGCGCACGTACGTATCGACGCGGGCGCGAGATGGACAGATCCGTAACGTGATCGCAAATACCGTCTTATCCATAATAGAACTTCGCCGCCATTTATTCGTCGTCATTTATCCGTGCTTCGTAGTTGCGGCGCGTTACTACTTTCTGGTGATATCTATCTAAAAATATCTCTTATCGTAATTCGCTATAATTACGCTTTTTTCATTCGTGCTTGATGATCGTAAAAATCCTTCGTATCGATTCTTCTGACGTAAAGTAGAATATGTAAATATGCGTATGATGATGATGCGACAAATCAAAGACCTACAAAAGAGACGTCCAAATCCAAAGGAGACATTGAAATTGTAAACAACTCTTCGTCGATATGAGTTGCGATAACGTTTTGCGTAAACAGCAATATTGTCCAAAATACCGTTTCAAATTATGTACCTCCGGTACCTCGGTAGCAAAATCATTTATTCGCGTAACTTCTTGACGACTTTTCTTCGCGAGTTATCTGGTTATCGTCGTTGTATATTTACGTCTTGCGTAAATCGCGCCTGATAAGAGATAACGCCGCTTGCTTAGAAATTGCCGACTTGGCTCATATCGTGCCTTAATTACCTTTGTGCGCCATTGCGTCGTCCTGCGTCAGTTATTACGTTATATCCGAATATATTCTCTCGTCAGAGGGCCAAATTCACTGTCGGAATCAATCAAGGAGGATCGATCGCGGAATCTGAATTAAACGCGACGCGAAATCGCCATCATAGCGGGGCCCTTCGTCCTCGCGAGCGACGCTTTCGTTTGATCTTCGGAGGACGCGAATCGATTCTCATTGCCGTGCACGAGATCTCATTTCGCCCGGATGCTCGGATGCTGACTGGAGCATCGGGACGCGTATAGGGCCGGCCAAGGGCCCCGACAGGATATCAAAAGAATAGAAAGGACCCACCGGCATGCGCACTCCTGGAGGGGGCAATTTTTTATACGAACCCCCACTTTATATTCTGTCGTCCTCTCTTTCGCGTTTTCTTTCTCTCTTCCTATCTATCTCCTCTCTGGCTAATTATTCTCTCTCTCTCTCTCTCTCTCTCTCTCTCTCTCTCTCTCTCTCATGCATATATATGTACGAAAAAAGAAATTCTTTTCTTTTAATTTTAAATTAAAGCAGCAGCTTTTCCTTTTTATTTTATTTTAATCTTCGCCATTTCCTTTTGACGATAAATAGCAGCGATATTCGTCTAATTCCGGTGAACGAACTTTCCTCGTAACAAACAGAACTAATTTCCTCTTACG